CCGCTTTTAAGTGCGATATCGATCGGTACCGTAAAGTGAATAAATCATTCTTGGATGAAAGGAAAAATATGTATCATACCACACAGAGGTATTAATAAAGCACTTGAAAATAAAAAAAGATTTAGGGCATAGAAAGAAATTTCACAATGTTATTGTATCTCTTTCAATCGATGACGCTAATCTTAACATATTATTTCGAGAAATTAGGAAAAAGTCTTTTGTCCCATTAATTGTATTAACACAATTCAATTTCTAATTTGATGTTTCTTTGCCTACGTACTTAATTAAAAGTTTGTTTGAGGGCTGCTTTAGTCGTGCGCGCGAAAAAATGTAGATCAATTGAAACAATGATTAAAAGTGTAATTATTTAGGTGAACTACAAAGTGACACACTTTCTGTGCAACATTCAATTTATTGTGAAATGAAAAATAAAAAAAAAGCTTTAGGCCGTCAGAAACAGGTCCAATGAACTCTGATTATCCTACGATTATAATAAAAATATTATTTTTTTTTATTATTAATAAAATTCTCGTAAACTTGAAACTATATTTTTTATAATTTCAATAAATTTTCTTAGCTGTTATTATTGTTGCCTTTATTTTGTGCTTCTGTCATCTTGGACGTTAAATTTAATTTGCAGAATCTGTTAATCTTTTATCTCGATGATATTTGGCAGCTTATGGCGTCTCAAGAGGAAGTTTAAAGTGACTTTGAAGTGGATTGAAATTTTTTGGGGATTGTTTGGATGTTTTGTCATAGCAAAATTTGGTAGCTAAAGCTTGTTTGGGCATTTACGCTTACAAATTGCTCTGCTAAGGCTTAAAACTAGGTTCACTAGGTTTATTATTGAAACCTTAAAGTTCTCAAGCTATAAGAAGTTGTGACATTGATCAATTTTAAATCACCTGTCTATATGCCACGGAAGCTAGTCGTCCTGCTGCCTAGAGACGAATTGCGCTTCGCAACATTCAAACAAACTATGCTTTCTCGAAATCCCGGTCCCGACAAATTTTCGGGATCGGGATCGGGATTGAAATTTTTCGGGATTTCCCGGGAAATCCCGGGAATCCCGAATATGTAAAAAAATTTAAAAAACAGCATTTTTCTGCTTTTTTTCCCAAAAAAAATTATATATTTTTTTGCTAATTATACGGTCATTTATTCCTTAATTAATTAGTTATACTTTATGTGTTACAAGGTAGATGTTTTAATCCATGTTTCATTTGAAAAATGTGAACATAAACAAAAATAGAAAATAAATGTTGCTAAAGATGTAAGTTAAAAGATTAGAGAAAACGGTGTGAATATAATAATAAAAATTAAGCATTAATGAAAAAACTTTTAACAAATGCAATTGCATTTAGATTCTTGTCAAGTAAACGTTTTCTTTGTTTTGTAAGAATGTTGTTACTAATAGAGAAATTTCGTTCGCTTTGAGTTGAGGTCGGCTGCATTGTTATCAATGCATCGTAAAGTTGATCTAATAAAACGGTTCTCTTCTTATTTTTGTCATACCAATTAAACTCTCTTTTCAAGTTATTTGGTTCTGTTGCTGCTGCATCTGTTGTTAATGATGTATATTCAGATCTGCTTAGTTTCAGTCTATCTCGAATAGAAATGTTTGACGGTTGGATTTGATTTGCACTGGATGTTGAAGCTTCCATAGCTCCATTTGTAGAGTTTTTGACAAAATACTTCTTCAATAAGTCAATGCCAAGTTTATGTATTGCAGCTTTTGTTGACGATTTAAAATGCTTGTCTAAAGAAATAAATTGAGGATTATTCAGGTAAAGTATTAAGTCCATTAATGTTCCATTTCTTCGTGCACCTATGCGAGCGCAATTCATATCGTAAACCTTTTGAGACAATAATGTTCCTTGTAGCAACAATTCGTCTAGCAAAAAGTTAATTGTTCCTTCAGCAATTAATAAATCGTTTGATTTACGCAATAATTCTTCTGTCGCGTATTTAGTAATAATTTCCTAAACTAAAAAACCGGGATTTTCAATCCCGATCCCGATAAATTTCGGGATCCCGGGATTGATCGGGATCGGTAAATCCCGGGAAATCCCGATCCCGATCCCGATAGCGAGAAAGCATAAAACAAACCCCAAAATAAAATCAAGGCAGACTTAAAATCCATGAAATTTCCCATCAATTATCCGTCATTTTTCTTTTACCTTCTTGTTATCCCTTTTGAAGAGGATTTTTATATGCGGTAATTTTTTAGACATGATAATCTTCAGTAGCTTCATTTTCGACATACCATGACAGAAGCAGAAGTCATCAATGTAAAGCTTGAATAATGATAATTTTCATTTTATGAGTCGTTGATGTTTTTTTGTGATGTAATTGGATATGATCGGTGCTTAATGTAACTTTATCACCTTAGCAATGTAATTTTTTTATCATTTTTTAAGTTCCTTATTGTCTTTTTTTTAGTAATTCAAACCTTAAAATTGCAGTTTTATGACTTAAAGCTTGAAATTTTTGAGTTCTGACTTGAAGTGATCAAATTTGAGGATTATTAAAAGAATAATGTCAATAGACAGTGTTTTGATAGAGAAACTAGAGCTTTACAGTTCCAATATTCAGCACAATCCACACTAATTGTTATATTGAAGACTGTTTATTGACATTTCCGTCAATAATCTCAGAAAACAAACAAATTGATAAATTTTTGACCTGTTTGTCATGTTCCAAAATCAATCAAGCTTGTAGGTTAGGAAACTGACCTGATTTCACTTTCATCGTATCTTGTAACTGCCAATTATTGCACTAAATTTAACAAGACTTAAAAACTGCCAATAAATATAAAGATTGTATAAAATGTGTCCCAAATTTCATCAAATGCGGTAATGTGATTGCCATAAATGTCATTAATTAATTATTGTAACCCAAAAACCTTATCATCTGACCCTAACGTTGTTTTGTGGCAATATTAACAACAAAAATTGCCAATTGACAAATTAAGATGTTCTTAAATTTCACAAGAAGCAGCTTAAAACTGAAAATCCATATATTAGCTGACTTTATAGCTTTTGCTTCTAGAATCAGGTCATAAAAAAATTTCCGAAAACACTTTTACAGTCAGGATTAAACCTTAATGCTACTAAACAATAAAGAAAAGCAGTCGGTTCCTTGACAATGCCACAAAACGTGCTTGGCTGATATTTATCTGATTATCTGACGTGTCTGCTCGAAGAAAACATTTTCATGCTAATAATAAATTAGCCAGCACAGAACAAGAAATGATAAAAGAAAAATAATTCAGCATAATAAATTTTCATGAGCAATTCCATCTAATCCAGTCACAACTTATCACCATGCATTCCTTTTTAATTATGATTTATTGATCCGCAAAATTTTCCTTGTTGCCGAAATACAAAAAAAAATCAATATGCAGTTCCGAATAAGGAATTAGTTCTTGATTCTCTTGACTTATAGTGTGAAATGCTGCAAAATTAATTAGTCACAAAAACAAGTTAAAAATAAATTTTGCCGTCATATCCATTTAAGCTATAAGCTCAAAAATAAAAATATTGGAAGATAAAAATAAATTTGCTACCAGATTAATATTGAATTTGCATAACCTACAAGGAAAATGATAAATAAACAATAAAAAAAATGAGAAATGAAATTGAAATCAAGTCTATAAAGAATAAAAGTTGAATGTAGATCAATGTTGGCAATGAAAAGAGGAATCATTGGAATTTAATAGGAACAATTTCAAGTTTTCAGAAGTGGATTTTAGGTTATTTTGGAAAAAACTAGGTTTTATAAATTTATTGAATCATTTTTGGCGGGAAAAATATGACAGGAATGTTTACTAGTCAACAAAGATCTGAAGTTAAGATTGAAAATGTTTCAAGTTTTTAGACTTATTAAGAGTTAACAACAACAAACAGTCATAGGCTAGACATATACACAATATACTTAGATAACTTGTATATTTAGAAGTTAAGCTCATTATTGCAATATTCAGCAGTACAGGTTTGTCACAAATCTTCACAAAACTTCTAAAATTACAAGCCAAATAAGGAAAAGTCCCTGAGAATGTATTAAGATGATTCTGAATTACTCAATTTGATTTTTTTTTAACAATTGAATAAAATAAATCTTTGGAATCTGGTTGTTCAAATTATTGTCAAAGAGTTGAGAAACGTTTGATCGCAAAAGGCTTAGATTTTTGAATTTTCAATTACAATACGTAAAAGTTTAAATCAGTAAGTTTAACTTGTAAGATTTTTATCAGAAAGACAATTTATGCTTAAAAGGTTTATCATTAGGCAGAAAGATTCATCGAATTCTTTCAAAATTGTTCCAATTCTAAATTTAAGTGAGTAATGTTCTATTTATTGCCATTTATATATTCACTTTTGATTTCTTGTTTATAATTAATGATTTGGGTTATCAAAAGTTGAATTAGGTTGGATTACAGTTTGCAATCATTAACATAGGAATTCGGATCAAGAGTTTAGCATTGATCAATTGACTTTTGATCATTTTGATCACTTAGATAACTAGAATTTGGATAAAAAAAATCGAACCGAGACTTAATCTTGATCTAAATCAACCCTGCCTCAATGACTGTATCTCAAATCCTCTTCATCACATATGTCTAACATTAGAACACAATAAAAAAAACTAGAGTAAGTGAGAGAGGAAAAACAGTGAGGAGCAAAAATCGATAGCTCGTGTTGCAATATCGAAATCGCTTTTCACCAACAAATAAAAAACACTCTTTATATTCTAAATAATAAAAGAAAGGAAAAGAAAAGAAAAATTTTTGTTTCCATATTTTTCAATTCTACAATTTTCATTTCATTTTTTTGGAACGATGCCTCAGTTGCATACAAGCACTTTCATCGTTCATGTCGGTTCATGGCGATGAAGGGTGAAAATTTTGTTGATTTTATGAAAACAATGTTTAAGAAATTGATTAAGACGAAAATTGTAGTGAAACGGAATGTTAATTTTATGTTAAATCTTTTCTACAGTTATGACATACCACATCGTAATGAGCGATATCAACGACGAAGTTTGGAGAATGATAAGAAGCTCTCTCGGCGACATCGCAAGCATCGTAACGATACAAGGGATCAGGAGGTGATAGGAGGTAGTATGAAGAATAATAAGGATGGAGTTGGACAAAAAAAGGTGAGTTTAAGCTTTTTTATTTTTTTGATTGATTTTAAAATTGGAATGTGGGGGGAATCGAGCAAAAATCAAAGTGAAGTGAAAATTCATTCGAAAGTGAAACGTTAATTATATAATTTTATTTTATCATGTCTGTCAATTTGCAAAATCTCTTCAACTTATAGTTAAATAATTAACAAAAAACCTTTATTTTCGCTAATGGAGTTGTCATTTTAACATTCTATTAATTAAGACGAAAATTTCTCTTCAATAAACTCTCTAATGAATAGATGTTGTTGATAAAACTGAATGGGTCTTGTGTCAATGATACTTCAAGCGCACAATAGGCGCTAATTGTGTTCAATAAAATGTCACAGATGTTTTTTTTTTCTTCTCGCGAATGTTTCCTGATCTGTGTTACTAATTTTATCTTTTATTCTGTAAATTCATTGAACTTTATCGATTGTTGGGGAAATAAAGATTAATTCTTTATTGGTGATGAGTTCTTGATGCGTTAATTGGGTTTATAGAAAATTAACTTTGCATTGTGAAAGGAGAAAATAATTAAGTATGAGAAATGCTTTGTTTATTTCTTCACCTGGCATTTTTATTATCAAAATTTTGCTTAAATTGAAAGATTTTCAACGAACAAACGATTGCAAACTACTTATTAAACGTGAGCAAAGAATAATTTATCAAAATTGATCAACAACTCACTGCTAAACATTCAAAAAATTTAAATTTTCAATCTTCAGAATTCTTCGTAAAAAAACTCTAAAAAGCGCATGAAAATTGATGACAAATTCAAATAAATTTGATTCTTCATAATTTAAATCTTACAACTACAGATCTAGCGATCTTAAAATTTAACAAGCCAAAAAGCTTTCATTTAAGCTGTACAACAAAAAGTCAATGATCTTAACTAGAATCCTCCTTGGAATTTCCATACTTCTTAAGGTCATAAACTGCAATAATAATTCTATAAAATTTTGCGTTAACAAGGATAGACTCTAGCCGTACTAATGAGACACGATCTGTATTCACATGAACTCTATAAAGGTAAAATGCATCAGCACGTAAATTTTCAAATTGCCAGCAAAAATTGACACATTGCTACTTCAAATTATTATTAATTTTAAAATTAGTGTCATTAGTTGGTAAATGCCTCGCAATTAGTCACGATTTTGCTACCACTTTTCTAGACAATTGAATAAGTAAGCGTTGTGAAGGTTAATTACATTTTATCAAAAGGAAAACACAATTTTTTTCTTTCTTGTAAAAGAACTCAATTTTGTAATTAACTATTCTTGCAATAATGTGAACCAATACGATAGATATGGACAAATGAATAGTAAGAATAAATCATTACCATGACATGGTTTAACAGACTTAAAGTGCAACAATAATTTGCTTATTAACAATAAACCGAATAAAAATGGAAAAAAATTTCACATAATTCATGCTTGACGCTTTTTAGCTCTAGTTTCCATAAATACAGAAATATTGCAAAGCTACTGTCAAAAATCCCCCCAATTTATAGCACAAATTGAATAACCATACAGCTCAAAGAAAAATGAAAAATATCAGAAATTTTTTTTTTTTTCATATTTTTGCTTTCATTTAAAAACGATTTATAATTCCGAATAACTTAACTCTTAAAACAATCAAATCAAGCAAGAAAAACACAGAGGAACGATGAAAAATGTTTCCCAACAAACAGCAATCCAAAGAGCCTCTCAATTGATCTCAATCGTCTTCAAATATTTTTTACGATCTCTCTTAAATCAAGACTATGAAAAAAGGGGAGAAATTTGAGGTGAATTTGGGTGGTGTGGGACTAAAGCGATGTTTTTTGGGGTGTGATTGTTGTATCTTAAATTGATAACTACTTACATAGAAGTGGGTAAATAGAAGCAGGTATAGAAGAGTGGGTATATAAGAATGCAAAGATAGGAGTAGGCACAAAGTAGGAGACACGTATAAGTTGGGATACAGGAGCAAGTACAAAGGACTAGATACATAGGAGACGGTATTGTAGATCTCCGTATAACTGCAATATGTGCATACTAATGTTAAACAAGTCGGGTTTGATGGGAATCGAACTCACGGCCTCAAAAGAGGCGATCTCTCACCACTTGACATATAACCAGTTCAACGCGAGCCCAATGCACAGGCTTATCTGCTACAGATATGCTCTTGGAGCCATATCCACAAGAATATTGGAATTTTAAGTTTGGTATATAATAGTCAGTATATTGACCCATCAAAGGGTTCATTGCATTCACCAAATCCAAATCCGATACAAAAACAGAAATAAAATAACAATCGTCCAACCTAAACATTTAATCCCAAACCTTACAAAGTTATTCGCTAAACACACAGCTTTCTATAAACAAAAACTGCCCAATACGAAAAAAAATCAATTGATGTCGATAATCAAGATGATGAGATGCCCGGAAGCAAAATATCAATCAATGGGGGGGTTTTATCATCGATTATTCACATTCATTCATTCTTTTCTCGTCTTATTTGCCAAAAATAAAATTCACGAGGAGAAAAGGCCATTTAAAGACACTCCACAAATATTGATTTTTTTTTTCTGAAGAACACACACCGGTTGTGTACCTGAATTGAATGCGGCAAAAAGAAGACGATTGCATTGCATGCATTTTTGCACTTATTGTAAATATGTGAATAAAAAATTCACTTTGTATTGCCACTTTACTATTGTACTCTATTTTATTTGTAATAAATTTAATTTAATTTTCATCGTGGTGGCATTACTGACTCTATAATAAATGAGCCTTGTACACAATATTGAAAAGGATGTTATGGTAGACATTGGGAGGCATTTAAACATTTAATACTTATATACTTTGTTGGCTAGGGTGCATGTGGGTACATTGCTTTGCTTAGAGCTAGTTTAAAGACTGCTAAATCCCAGAGGTCGAAGCGAACTTGGTTCGCCAAGTTCGCTTCGCTAAAAATTCAACTTGCCAAAGTCGAACTGTAGCGAGAAAAAATTTTTTCTATTCGCCTTAGCGAACCATAGCAAACTTAATTTTTCAAAGTTCGCTATAGCGAACTATAATTTTTTGCAATTTTGTATGAAATTACATACTTCACAAGCGCAATCAGACATCTCTTTACATGAAGCCAAAAAATTTTTTCTAGTTCGCCAATAGTTCGCTAAAGCGAAAAAAATAAAATTGAGTTCGCTATAGGTCGCTAAGGCGAAAAGAAAAAAAAATTTCTCGCTACAGGTCGACTATAGCAAGTTGAATTTTTAGCGAAGCGAACTCGCTAAAAACTCGCTTCGCTATGCTCGCTACGACCTCTGCTAAATCCTTTGAAACCTTCTGCCAGTTCAGGATTTTAAGGACTCTAGCGTCCTTTTAAACACATCCAATCCAGGAATTATTCGGTCTACTTCGCGAAATTATTTTATGAAGGTTCAATTTATTTGTAATAATGAGAATGGCGTTGCTAGCTTTTGAGAACGTTAAAATTAATTCTAATACCCTAACCAGCTTGAATGCACCCCCTTGCAGCACAAAGAGGTTCAAAACTTATTAACCATTAAAAAAGGCTCGAAAAAAATTGATACCATCGACTTTTAATTGAATTAAATTAATGAACACGTATGTCATGCGTCATTACAACACAAAAATCTTTTTAATCACTGATGAAATATTTTGTTTCTACAACTCATTCAACGCATTTATAGAGACGATCGAGATGAAAATTTATTTTTAGAATTAAAAAAATTTTCTCTCTGAAAAAAAGTTTTTTTTTATTTTCTTCCTCTTGAATGACTTTTGTGCTCATTGCTCTCGAAAAAAAACACACAAAAAAAGTCATGTCTAATGATGAGATCAGAAATTTCTTCATGTGAGTGTAGATAAAGTACATAAATATGTAAATATATATTTTTTCTGAAGAGTCACATAATTTTATGTATTTGTACATCGTCGATGACTTTGCTCTTGTTCAATTCTGTTACATTTAATGAGCAACTTGATGATGCTGTTTATGTATTTTTATTTTATAAGATTATGTACAAGTTGAAAAGTCATAATAATATGTAAACAATGCGATTGTCAAGAAATGCATTAAGCAATTAGGGAAGTGTAGGAAGGCATTTGATCTTTTCATCAAGAACCTTCAATTTGAAGCTGTGAATCACTCTATATACTTTTTTCCTCATTATCAAAATTAAATGTCCAAGTCGAGCCTTTAAAATTCCCATTGACGTCACTCATGATTGACCCTCGCCTAAGTGTATCACCCGATTTGAGATTATTGCGTATTATATAAATCTGTATCTGTCATTAGTTATTTGATTCTGAGTGATGAGATTCGCATTGTTGCGCTCGCCAGATAGAAAGTGCAGGAATTCTGTGACGCTTAAGGTGTGGGCTTTTTTCTTGTGCATCAAAAGAAGTTTATTAATGTTTTATAAACTTTGTGTTATATTTATGATCGGGAATATTTTTGCCACCTGTTGGACAATCAGTGTCGGGTTTTCGTGTGGATTATTTTAATCGAAATTGTGCGATATGTGAGCTTCACAGTGAGATAAGAGTCGGATGAAAAGAAGATGGATTTTTGCATTTTTTGAGATTGAACTCTCAAGTGATGAATAAAAAAGAATCTAACCTTAAAAAATTAAAAAATGTCGTTTTGTTACGAATAAATTTTATACTATGTTTTGATTACCATCTGTAGCTTAGGTAAAGCTAATTACATTTGCTGGATCTAGTGTAAATTGCCGAATTAGAAATTATTGATAACTTAGGTAGATTTATGATATAAAGTGTAATTAGAAGCATAATACAGTGAATAAGTGACAAGCTAGCTACAAATCTATCCAAAAAATTGGCAAACTTTAATTTTAAGCAAAAAAAACTACTAGCTTTAAAGCTCGATCTACTTTTAATCAATAATAATACTCTCAAGTGACTCCAGTACTGTTGCGAGATGCTAGACATGATTTTATTTTATTAATAAGTGATGTTTAT